TACTAACATTTCAGGAAGATCACAAGCTACTCAGGATGATAGGAAGACTCAAGAATGGGTAGATTAGGAGTATGAGTATGACAATGTATTTTGTTATTTATTTTATTTTTATTTTCTTGAGTCTGGCCATAAAATGCATAAAAGTCTGAGTAACCATGCACACACAGGGGGAGAGGATTTTTTAAAAGAAAAATTTGGAGATTTTCTTTCTCTGTAGATTGTACTGTATGATGTTATTTCGTACCGTACGATCTGAGCTTATAGGACGATTCTGTGAATAAATCATACCGTACGAATCAAAATCATAATGTATGACATATTCAAATCCAAAACCCTAGCAGTCAAATTAACTTAAGTAAGTTTTTCTCCGCCGTTCGTACTGTCCGAAGTATTTCGTGCTGTACGATTTATTTTAAATACTTACTTAAATTAACCCGTGATTAGTGGAATAATTCAAGGCTTAATTTCAAATTTAATATCATACTGTACGAACCAGTTCGTACAATACGTTGAACAGAGAAATTCTGATCGTCCCGGAGATCGTCCTGGACGATCCATTATTTTTGCCTCATCGTACAGTACGATGTAGATCGTACTATATGATGAACAGAGATGACTCTCGATCGTCCCGGAATTCGTCTTGGACGATGCCTTGATTTTGACCATTCATAATGTACGATATGTATCGTACAATACGATGAACAGAGACGACATTTGATCACCCCGGCTATCGTCCTGTACGATCAATAATGTTGAGGATCGTATCGTACGATTCATTATCGTACTGCATGATTGATTTTGAACTGTTCGTACATCTTCATACCAGGACGAAGCTTGGTATACATATCGTACTGTACGATGAGAAATCATACTGTATGATAGTAACGGCTACTTTGAAATTTTAGGGATTTTGGAGCCCGTTTTTAGTTGTCAAAATAGTTATGTTTTCTGAGAGTGAACCAGAGAGGAGAACGTGATTAGACAGGAAATCCTTGGGAGAGCTCTTGAGAAGTTCCGTGGGGTTGAGAGAGGAAGGAGAAGGTGAGCTTGGTGAGGGAGAAGAGGTGTGAGGGAGATCACACGATTGCTCCGATCTTGCTGCATCTTGCTCCTCCTGTGGCCTGAGAAGAACTTGTGGGAGGTTCTCTGGGGGGGAGACTCTTCTACATCCGCGACCTCGAGGTTCTCTGCCTTCTCCAGGAGGGAGAAAAATGAGAAGGTTCTCTGCCGTCGCCAGGAGGGTGAAAACAGAGTTTGGCACTCTGCCATGCCGGGTTGGTGAAAGGGAGTATTGTAAGGGCTTCTCCGCCTTGCCAAGGGGGGCAAAAGGTGAGCTATTGCTTGTAGTGAAATTCCCGGAGCGGGGGGCTCCGGGGAGTGGACGTAGGTCATGGTTTGACTGAACCACTATAAAAATTCGGTGTGCTTTTTCCTTATTGTTTTTTATTCTTGTGTGCATTTTTCATTTTCAGTATATTTGCTTGGTGAAATATTGTGATTGAACAGGATTCCTTTGTTGCACTTTATTTTCATGTTAAAACCTTAAAAATATCAAAAATATTAGAACTCATGTTTAGGTTATATTTATTGCTATAAATCTTTCACAATTCACCCCCCTCTTGTCCATCTAGTAATTTCAAATCCTTCAACAAATCTATAAAGCACAAAGTAAGGATCGAAGGAATTTTTCTTCAAAAAGTACATGAAAGAACAAAGCAATGGACCAACGAAATTATCCCAAAGTTCACATAAAGATTAATGCTGAACTAAGATGATTTTGTCATTACAAGTCTGTTTTCATAAAGCTATGGACCAATGAATCATCGCCAATGACCTGATATAAACCTAAAGGCTTTAGGCCACTGGCATCCACTCCTTCATCAATCTCGTCAAACTAAGAAGCACGGGGAAGAAGGCATATTCAAACCCTAATAAGTTAGACAAGACAATCCATGTATTTAACAAGTAAAAAAAAAAAAAGAGAATTCAAGTAAAATTCTTTCATCAAATTTGTATAATCACAAAGCTAAGGTCGAAGGAACACTCACATTTATCAAAAGAATTTGGCATCAATAAATCTCTTCAAGATAAAACATAAGACTAATGACAACAGCTTTTGACTCAACAAACTATCATCTATTGAGCAGGAATATGTTCGAATTTAACACTTGGCTCTTGAGCATCAATATCCCTATATACAAATGGAGGCTAGCCAAGAAAGACATTCAGCATAAAATTCAAACAATTTCTTGGAGATCTAAAAAATGAAAGCACTTGATGTAACATCCATAACAAATAATTGAAGATCTAAAGGATCAATCAGCCTATAACAAACGTGGTTCACTCTAGGCGTGTACCACATTTGTTGACCTTCACATATCAAACCACATGCAAAGGAACTTTTATTACATCCAGTGAACGTACGCTCCTTTACGTTCGGTTTTAGACTAAAACAGCGCAATACTGAGTTTTTTTAAAAAACTCGGTACAACTCGGTACTCGGTACTCGGTATTGCGCTTTTTTTGCCTAGATCCGAACGTAGAGGAGCGTACGTTCACTGGATAAAATAAAAGTTCCATGCAAAGAGAGCAAAAATGATGAAACAAGCAATGCACGCGTCAGTGTGATGTGCCACTTGAAAGATCAAATGACCTCCAATTGCCAAACAAACTACAACGTTGCAACCAGGATATTGAGTTCACCAAAGTGGTACCCCTCGAATTCAAATAGGATGAGATCGATCCAAAGGGACCACTGACACCCAAAATTGGCAATTGATGTCGTTTAAATGACATCCGATCAAAAAATGATTTTCATCATTTGGTTCGGAACATCATCATCACTTAAGAACTATATTTTATTCGATCAATTGGGATCGACCCAGATGGTGACATGAATCTCGAGGTGACGATGCACAAATTGAGGAAGCTGGTACGCAACACCGCCCAAATGATGTCCGATTATAGAACGGATTTTGTTGTTGCATTCGAAATGTCATTGACTTCCAAAAAATACATTTTATTCATTCAATAGGGAACGTACGAGGCGGTGCCATGAATCCTAAGGTAATAACATGTAAATTTAATAAATTAGCACGTGATGTCATCTAAATGACGCCCGATCATGAAGCAGACTTCGCTATTACATCCAGAATATCCTCACTACTCAAAATTGAAATCCATTTAGATTAATTAAAAGATGTGCGAGGAGGTTGACATGCAGCTCGAGAAAATTATATGCAAATTAAAGAAATTAGAGCACGATGCTGCCCAAATGACATCCAATCGCAAAACAGACTTTGCCATTACATTTGGAACGTCATTAATACCCAAAATGCATTTTAAAATTGTCCAATGATAGTCACACATTCCAAGGCGAAATGTATGAATTTTAAGAAATCAGATAAATCTAAACAATTTTGGTTAATAGACGCATGCTAGCCATTCCAAATTAGTAATATTAATAATAATTTTAAACTATTATCAATGTTATTAATTAGATTAATTTGAAAGTCAAAATTTATGTCAAATCCAAAATTAATTCAGATCATTTCATCCTTAGATATTTTGCTATGAACTCCGATCAATTCCTAGATATCTCGTCAAAATACCCCATAAATCCAGCAGATTACCTCAGACAAATGTTTCTGTCATCGTTAAAATATTAGTTTTTTTTTTCTTCCACGGTCAGAACCTCTAAATCACCAAATATTTACAGTGCAAAATTCATCCATCATCCGTAACAGTTTGTCGAGGTGGACAAATTTGAAAATATCTTATCAGCTCACAAAGAGCTGATATTTGGTCGAGAATATAATTAGAATTCATTCTAAAATAATTTCTTACCAGTAAGGATGTGGCACATGTCAACTAATCGACGGTTTTGCCACCTAATGGCACCGCAGGTATACAATTATGACCATGACCCTTTGAACCGGGTGCTTTGCCGCCAAATGGCACCACCAAACTACGATTATGGCTAGAGCCCATAAGCTCTCCAATGGCATCAAATCCTTTATAAATCAATAGGATATAATCGATAGGGCACAAAACCCTCTGTTAATTAAGATGGACTCAAATTTATCCCTTTAAACAAATATCTACCCAAAGTCTACTAGGTACCATTGGATGAAGCAACCCATGACTGCCATCAAGGATCCTTCGGTCAGGCTAGGTCGACTACCTCCTTTGACTAAGTAGACCAAGGACTATATTTACCCAGGACAACGGAACCATTAGATCTTGATCGAGTCCATCAACCATTCCCCACCATCTACTTTAAGTACAAGATGGTGAAATTTTCAATTTTAAATATCAAATCTTCAAACACTCAAAATCAATGCGGTACTATATGACAAATAACATGTATTCCCTATGTATCTGATCGACGACTAGCCTTAATCAAAAGTTCATTCTTATTATCTGGATGGGTAATTAACTATAAAGGCTTGCGCCTATAAAAAACCAGAACTTAGATCTAAAGTCCTAAAATAATGAGGGTGAAATATCTTTGTAATGTCTTTATCTACAAACTCAATCTATCTTTTCAAAATTTATTACGTAAATTAATTCATTAAAACTCCCCCAAAAACATGGAGAGGTCGAGTCACGAATTTTCGGAGCCCACATATACATGAAAATGAGAAAACTTTACTTTAAAATGTTAGAACTCATGAAAAGAAATACTAGAATATGTTAAAAAGCTTGTTTGTGATCTTTTTATTATTTTATTTTATTCTATTTATTTTTAAATGAAATAAAATATATTTATCATTTAAAAATATGTTATTTTTTTATCGAATATCAATCAAAATAATTCATATGATTACAATAATGATGATGACACTCTTTATCAGAGATGGTGATATATATTCAAAACATTCAAAATACTTCAAATTTTTATTTTGAATATTTTTAAAATAATTTAATTAATATTTTAAAATAAAAAATTAAAAAAATTAAAAGCATACTAAACAAGCATATTTAAGGTACTAAGGTACTGAATAACAATTCTAGCATTGATAGATATGAAATGATATAAATAGTTTCTAAAAAAATCATGCTTTGATGCTAAGATGGGCCACCCAAAATCAGTCAATTTCAAATTAAAATTGTCTTCAAATATATACACATACAATACTTTATAGCTCTGCACCAATCTATATAAAGAAGCAGTAACCAAAATGATTTATCCATCACTGAAAAAGCTCTGCAAGTGAATCTGCTTCTTCAAAAAGCAGATGCTTAGGTACCTTGAGACTGATCTGGTCTTTCTGCCATCCAGCTTCTTCTAACTGTTTTAAAAAGACTGTAAATCTGGCTTCTACTTTCAGGAGGCTTTCATTGAGCCAACCAAGTACATCATCCCTGTCAAGTTCCTTATGGTGGTTATGCAACCAATACACTTGCCATAAACTCTTCAGAACTGATAGGCTTGTGGCACCAACCTAAGGATTATCAAGTTTGTTCAAATCATCAGAAAGAAAAAATTGGATTATATTTATTTCAAAATATATCAAGAATTTGAAACCTCTTTGAAAACTTTCTTGTCTAGCTCAAATAACAATAAAAAAACTGCAAATTGAAACAATAGGCAATAGAAAAGAACCTTGTATGTTATGTAGTAGTTTAGCACTTTTGATCCATGCCGGTTAACAAAGAGAACATGCTTTTCTTGTGCGTAAAGTTCCAGAACTGCTTTAACCTTCATCGAAAACCAGTAGAGGGTAAGAAAACATTGTGATCTGCTGTAAAACTTGGGCCAGGTTCTGAAGCAATGTACATTATACAAACATAAATTCATAAAGGTATTCGGTAATGACTACCGAGATGCTTAGTCTTCATATGAAACGATTTTTTTATTGCTTCTTAAAACTCATTGTATGTACATCATACAAACATAAATTCATAAAGGTATTTAGTAATGACTACCGAGATACTTAGTCGTATCTTAACGTAGAACGATTCTCCGCCTAAATCTGCCTTTTCAGTGTACAATATCCAATAACCTTTAAATGTAAAATCAAGCATTTTACTTCAATTATTTATGATGTTTAATGTGAAAACTTATATTTGATTCGCATCAGTCAAGTTAATCAAGCTTGTGCCAAATCTAGAAACTTGTCGATCATGAAATTGATCAAGTCTCCTGTAACTCAGGAATTGTTAAGCTTTAAGTCACCTGGAATCTCTAATCACTAGAACTAAAACTCATCAACTCTTCTAAGCAAATGCGACAAAGCTCTCTGGCTACTTTCCTGAATATCACGACTAAACCAAAATATTCTCCTACAAACTAGGAGTTCTCGCCAGAATTCGCTTAGGGTTCTTGTTAGAAAAACTCATTAAGTATACTCTCGGCCCTTTATCTAGAAGTTATCTGAACTTCCCGCCTAGTTGATAGTTAGCAAAGAAAACTTGTTACAAAAATGACTGCATTAAGCCCACTTATATAATTTTCTTAATTATTTTCTCATATAACACATCATGTGCCATGGACCCTAATTCTCACCTATAAATAAAGGCTCACTAAAATTTTGTACCTTTTAGGCAAAACTCTTTTCCCAGGCTTTTCTCAAAACTTATCTATTTAAATTTCTTATTAAACTAGGTTTAACACACCCCTTTCAATCTTGAAGGGGTCAACCTTATCAACTGTAATTCCAATTCAAGTAAACATAATTTCTGAAACCATAATCTCTTTCTTTCTATAGTAAGATCTTGATGAAAGTCGACAGATAAACATTGGATCCAACAGAACATCCCATAAAACAACACTATATAATTATCCAAGAATCAAACCTATTAAGCATGCTCTGCAATAAAAAAGGTTTATATATTAGTTTCGATAATTTGTAAAGCCTTTTCCTTCAAGAATCACATATTTCATGCAATGGAATTTCCACACAAATATCACTTCTTTAATGCATGGCTAAACAATCATAAAGATAAACCTCGGGTTAAATCATGCTAAATATAAAAAAGAATGTAATCTCTTGTTTGTCAAAGCCATTGTCATAGAAAATTAACGGTATATAACATCGATTTTCATCAAAGACAAGAAAATTACTAATTAACTGATTAAATAAATTTTCATACTTATTTAGTAATTCATCAATCATATGAAAAAAAAAAAAGTATAACCAATGATAATCCCACTTAAAAAATCATGTTTAATTCAAGACATTGTAAATAATCTACACATTGAAAATTGCAATTTTCTTATAAAATCGAAACTATCTATTGTGAGAATTTGGATGCATTTCATTAATTTTATCTTAAAAAGTTTTTTATTCACATATGCCACAAGTTTTAATGATAAAGATAATTAACAGCCTTCATCTTGCATTTGAAGGTCATAACAACTAAATTTAAAGAGAAAAACATTTTCTTCCATGGAGGAAAGTTCAATGATATATAAATTATATGCATGCATATAACCATCATCCTCCTCCTAAGCCTTATCCCAACAATTTAGGTCTACTTTATGACTAATCTATCATTCTTCATACATTCTATTTGAGTGCTACTTAAGTTATTATTAAATATACTTTGCAAGAAGAGAAAAAAAATAGTACACAAAATCAATCCATGCAACCATTTTTTACCCATCTTCCTTCCTAATCCGTCAACGTTACTTTTTGTTTAACCATTTTATTAGTGCATATTCTTCCCCTCATTAAATGTGCACAAATCACCGGTTTAATCCTTCCCTCCTAAGTTTCAATAAGTGTAACATTCACGATCATCATCTAAATTGCTCTCAATATTTCTTTTTAATGTTTTGATGCACATTCATCTTGATATTCATGCATTCACCACACTCGATTATCAAATTGTCTATCTCCCAACAATAAAATCTATATAACCATCAAAATTTATCTATAAGTTATGCAAGATAAAAATCCGATTTAGGATTTATTTCAGTTTATTATGATGTTTCGATTTATTTTAGTTTTAAATTAGAATAAACCATCAATTTGGATAATATTTGATTTGTATTTAATAAGTGTGCATCTTCTTCCTCATTAAATGTGCGCATACCACCAGTTTAATATCTTTTTCCTAAGCTTCAACAAATGTTGATTCATAGTCATCATATAAGCCGTTCTCAATATTTCTTTTCATGTTTCGCTGCATATTCATCATAGCATTGGTGTATTCCCAAGACTTTATTTGATAGTTTATCACCCAATAGTAAACTATATATCAGATTTCAATTTTTTTTATAAAATTTACTTATAAGTAATGCAACATAAAAATTTGGTTTAGGATTTATTATAGCTTTTTTATGATGTCTAAATTTATTTTAATTTTTAATTAGAATAAACTATCCATTTTGGTTTGAACTTAGAACTTATGATTACAGAAAAAATGAATTCAATTTAGTTTGAACTTATAACAATCATTATTTGGCCTCTAAAACAATTTACTTTATCAATTCATAAACTATGGAGTTGATCTTTCTAGACTTCTTCATATGATGTCATGATATCAGTACAGCTAAGGATTTGTTCAAGATGCATAGCTTATTAGTGGAGACACATTTTGAATATGATTTATACATGGATCAAGAAGATTGGAAAAAAAAAAAAAATCTAGATAATTACTTTCATATGATTTAATCATCATGCAATATCTCAAACCCTAATGGTTCAAGTTAATCTATGAAGATTATAATTAAAGTTTAAATATTGTAATAATCAAGATTATAGATGAATTATCATGCAAGTGAAAGGCTTTCTCAGCTCCGAAACGGCTTTTGGTTTTTGTGAGTGGCATAGCAAAAGCGTAATAAATGCATAATGGTGAATAGTAACTGTGATTTTACTGTACACACTCATAAAAACCGGACGGTTCTCTGATCTGAACTCCGTACGTAATAATCTCTCCTAAGAATGAGCCTATATTTGCACCACTTACAGAGATCATTACTACTATTGAGGGTAGCTCAGATTACAGTAGAGGATAATCCATAGTTGACAATTCAATTTCATTCTTTAATATTGATTATTGCTATTGAGTTTATGCTTTCACTGCCCATAGATATGCAATGTGAAGAACTCAAATTATGCATCCCAAATCAAAGGTAACTTTTAGCAATTTGCGAATCTATTAATATTCTACTTAGGGGGTCAATTTCGGGTCACGGGTCGGGTTCGGGTCGAACCCGGAACTAACCCGGCATTATTCGGGTCAACTCGAACCCGACCCGTTTTTAGAAACGGGTTAGTTTTTCAAACCCGAACCCGACCCGTTTCGGGTTCGGGTCAACCCGACCCGACCCGGCTGATTGGCGTTAGTAGCTTACGTCTGACGGACTGAGGTGGAAAGTGTAGTGAGGGATGGCAGCAATGACTGCAATGGCGGAAAGCCGATAGTGGCGGCGGTGGAGGTCCGACACGAGCTGCGGCCGCAGAGGCGTCAATCCGGTAAAAGCTGTGGCGGCGGCTGCTGCTGCTTGAAGAGAACGACGAACATGTAAGTTCTAACGACGGGTCTGGACGGGAGAATGGATTGTGCGTCTGTGCCTAAGACGTTTAAGCATGGACTGTGCGTCAATCCGGCGTTGACGCAGTCGCTGACAGACCTCACGGTCACGGACGACGCGCCTGAGTCCTGATGCAGCGACGCCCTTGTCCCGGACAGATGACGACGGACGGCGGACGTGACTTGGCACTAGCGTCTGCCATCTGAGTTCTGATGCGACAAATGACGCGATGCGACAGATGGACACGAATGAGCGGGAAACTGTTTTACAAATGGGTCAAAACGGGTTACTATCGGGTTTCCGGGTCAACCCGAACCCGACCCGGTTTTACAATCGGGTCGAAATCCTTAACCCGAACCCGACCCGTTTCGGGTTCAGGTCAACCCGAACCCAAAATTTTCGGGTCGGGTTTTCGGGTCGTGTCAAATATTGACACCCCTAATTCTACTTATAAATTAGTGTTTATCTTAATGTCTCCAAAGATGACTTAAGGAATGTATATGCAATAGTTCCACCACTTCCAGCATCGTAGCCGTCAAAATTCTCAAGCAAGGTTTTCTCCGCAACTATTCATGGAAGGGAATCTTTGCAGTAGAAGAAATTAGGTTTATGCTTTAATTCAGTCTATCATGAATTTGGACTTATTTTAGTTAAAAATTAGAGTAAATGGATAATACAATTTTAACTTTAAATTATTTAGGATTAATAGGATTTGATTTCAATTTGATTTTATTTTATCTTATAAATAATATTTAAATGAGAAATGGACTAAAATACTCGCCCAACTATGAATGCAATATTAAAATGATCTGAGACTATATAAAAATTTCAATTTAATTCTCAGCATCTTTAAATAGAGACCAAAATAGTCTCACCCCAAACTAATAAAAAATGGAATCAAATGGCATAAAAAGCGAAGGTATACACAACAGGAAAATCGTCGATTACCAGCAGAATTTCTAACGGAACATTTACCGATGGATTTTCAGGCGGATTTCCGACGGATAACGATGAAATTTTTTTGACTAATTTTCAGGCAGACTTTCCGGTGGATTTTAAATTTTCTGGAAAAAACATATTTTTATTTTTTTTTTTACGAAACAGTTTACCGACACTCGATTTACTGTCGAAAACGTTTTCGCCAGAAATTTACCGAGAAATTTCGAAATCCACCGGAAAATTCAGAATTTTTCGCAGGAAAATCCGCCGGTAATTCGAGATTTTTCTATAGGGATTCTTACCTGAATCAACAAACACATGCAATTTTAATTAAATTTCAGTAATCATACAAACTCAACTGAACATACCACGTGGCTGAAATCACCCTTAGGAATCATGCTCTTCAATGGAACACCAAATGTAATTTTTGGTTGCAGAAAATGCTCCCAAGCTAGAAGTTTCTCCTCTTTATTGACGTCAATATACCCTATAATGAGTTCAATAACTTAGTCAAGAAACACAAACAAGAAATCCCAAATCACAATATGGTCAAATATGCACCTGGAACCGTGTTATATAAAACATGTGAATTCACAAGAATGCGAGCACGCTTGAGGTTTATCTGCCAAAAAATAGTAAAATATAGTAAAGATATGAGAATTTGGGAGAAGGACAAGCAAACAATGGAGAAATTGCACATATAAATGAAATTGCAAATTATACTTTGAAATCACGAATATTTTTTCATGTTTCTGAACTTACTGAGGGAAACTTCAGTACTGATAGTGACTGATAACGCAACCAGAGGTGCAGAAGGCGCACGCTCAACCATGTGAAAGCATGCATAGAATATGATTCTCTTAATCCAGGTGCATCCTGCATGATTTTTCTGATATTTAGAAAACAAAAAATAGCCAGATGCATTAAATTAAGGTCCCTGAAGAAACATGTTTACCATGATGAGTATGCCAAGAGCAAGTCCCACCAGTTGAGCGGCTACTTCCCATACTTCCTCCTGAAATAGTATTTGTAAAATTTAAAATAAGAAAAGGATACACCACTAAAATCATACTAAAACAAAAAAAGGCGCTGATGCATATTAACCTTTATATACTTACTAGGGATTTATTTCAACATTTAAAAGTTAAATAGCAAATTAAAATTATTCATATTTTAGAAACTGTTAATAGAAATCTCAAAACGCCTTTAACTCTTCAAAAAATGTTTTTACTAGTCATAGCAAATTATATGCCGAATGTGTCCTAAGATTACAGGTCACTTCTCCAAGTTCTACCAGCAACTGATACAAAATTCAAACATCCAATAACATGATCAATGTACATTGGAGTTCTTTAATTTTTTGGCCAAATAGAGACGTATGCATTACCAATTAATACAGTGACCTTACTAAAAGTTATCGCCTATAATTGATACCTACTTAAACTCTGATAGTGAAGCTTTCTTCAGAAGTAAGACTTAATTTTGAGAACTCAATCTAAAAACTACTCACCCAGATGGAGATTAGTACAGTCTGCATATACAATATTTTCCCCACCATATAAATTTTTTTTTTGAAACAATACAAATAGCAAATTTCTTACTAAAAAAGAAAATTACAACTAAATGATAGGTGACCTATCACATTATCCTTCAACAAAGAAATAAACAAGGAAGGAAGATTATTATGAAAAAAGTCACAAAAGAAACTATCATTTAAGGCATAGGTTGCACAAAAGTCCGCGATCTTATTTTTCTTTCTAGAAATACAATTAAAAATGATATGCTTAAAATCATATAAAAAGATAAGTCTAAAGAGGTAGAATTTGCATCTTTCCGAAATTGAGAAGTCCAAGATCTTTGAAAAAACTTAATAACATTGGCGTTATCTTCTTTAATCCAAATGCCTTCAAATTCAATCATCCATTCTTCAAGAATATCCTTTAAAGAAAGGATAGCAATGCTTTCAAGTTGAGCTATATCTCAATGATATAATTGCTTTTCAAAAGCTGATATAAATCTTCCTTTATCATCTCTTATTATACTAACAATTTCTGCACAATTGGAACAAAGAAGAGAAGCATCTACATTTACTTTAATCCATTTTGAAGGTAGAGGATGCCAAAATTTACAATTCAGTTCTGAGAACCGATTAGCACCCCAGTTATTCAAAATAGGATTTAGAGAAGGCTTAATAGAAACTGATAGAACTTCAGCTGAAATAAATGTAGAGGAAGAAGAAGGTTTTCCATGCTTGATACAATTCCTGTCTTTCCAACAATAGAAAACAGAAGAGCAGTAAATTCTAACCAGAACTGGATTTTTTTTTGACAAAGAGAGAAGTTGCTGCCACATCGAAACTGAACTGAAAGATGGAATTTGAACTCCCCACTTATTAAGAACAATAAACACTTAAAAGTTTTTTGCATGAAATCGTAATATGAAGAATATTTTACCCTAGAACCCTAGAAGACAACCTCTCGGACGAAGGTTTGAATTTAGTAAATTCCTATGATTAAGCCAACTGTTGGTAGGAAGTGCATCTTTTCCAAGTCTCCACCAGAAAAAAAGAATTCTGGGTTGAAGTTTTACTTTCTTTAGCCAATTGATGTTGTTGGTATCAGAACTTTTGAACTTTTCTTCAAATTTACTGAATTGTTCATTTGAAGTTACTATAAGGGTGAGAATTGGAAAGTATATATTTACTGAATTGTTTTGCTAGTACCAAATATATATATGCTTATGTATTTGCAAGAGATAAGAACAATCAAAGAAGGTACAATGAAAGAGAATATCCTAATGAGAAAATATTAAAATAATAAATAGCACATACTCCTCTAAATAAATTAGCACACGTGACCATTTAAACATGGCAATAGCAGGATATGTCAATTTGAGTTTGGAAATAATAGACGAGATCAAGTGGTCAAAGATTTTACAGAGAAAGTTTGAGAGCGTTTCAAGAGAAGTGTCACTGATTTGTGAAAAAGGGAGACCTGTGAATTGGATATAAAGAGTTGTCAACAAGTTCCTCGACAGAGAAGACATGGATAAAATCCTTAAAAAATATCAATACAAAGTTGATGGAGATATTAATAGAGTGCATCGACATAAAAGATAAAAGCCATTTATAAAAGAAGATTGTTTTGGGTGTACATTTACAGAGTTTAGAGGTCACAATGTTCTTCAGCAACCGTGCACAATTCATGAGTGGATAGCGCTATGATGCCAGTAACAACTTAGAAGGCGGGTGGGTGATTGGAGGTGTAATAGCGGTCCTGATGAGGTTATCAAGTAGTAGAGAAATAGACATGAGCATGGCATGGCATGTGCTTACTATGATGAAGGGTAAGGCTATGATGATTATGATAAAATGAGTGTGTGTAATAAGGAGGTTTGACGGTTGGTAATTTCACCAAGAGGAACCCATAAGGTTACTCATAGGCTAAGTGACGAAGGAGATCACAGTTAAAGAAAAGCAAATGCTTGACTTGGCACAAGCAATAGAGAACAGATATTAGTTGTGTGGGGGAGAAAAAAAAAAAGGGGGATCATCAATCGAGGGTTTGCAAACAAAATAGAAGCTATGGAGTAACAATCTAGAAATTCAGATGGGCAAGATTCAAAGATTCATGAACAAAAAAGGGCAAGCATGAATGATAGAGGAGACATTGAGATGTGTGGAGGAATTGTTCATGGCATTTTCACAAGCAAAATATGTTTGTGAGCTAGATTATTGGAAACAAACTAACTCTGACATCATTCATAAACAAAAAAGGGCAAGCATGAATGATAGAGGCAACATTGAGATGTGTAGAGGAATTGTTCATGGCATTTTCACAAGAAAACTATGTTTGTGAACTAGATTATTGGAAACAAACTTTGATATCACCGTGGTTTCTACAAAGTTATAAACACAGGTATCGAAAGAGATATTGACAAAGACCATCAATGAAGGTATCGATGAAGATATCACTAAAGTGCCAATCGTTGGGCGATGATGTTATAGAAGATGACCATAACATAGAAGCATCCTTGGAGTTGCCGGCAAAATGACATGGTGTCGATGGTGAGGTGAGACAATCAACAAGCAAATGTTGCTATGAAGCATATGGTGTATGATAGAGTTTATTTCAAAAAATGCTGTGTAGAAGCTGATAACGAGATATCAAAGACTGGAACGTCCAAGAAGGTTTGCATGGAAGCCTACTTTAAGACTAACAATCTTGGCCGATGGGAAGGCAAACAAGCACTTAGAGTTAAAAGAACTCCATATAATCAAGAGTTCTCTACAGATGATCAAGCTAGTGTGTCCAATTAGGATGAGGTATTTTGAGGGCAAGGATGAGACAAGAGTGGATTCCATGCTGGTCATAGAGGAAAGAGCAGAAGAGGATAGCAATCAAGTAGACATTGACATAAGATATGCAAACTCCGAGGATGAGCATGTTAATGGGCATGCTCTCTTAATCGAAGAGGAAATTTGATCTATTATCATAGGTAAATACAGTGACACTGTCGTTGCCAGGTCCCAAGTCTTGGATGAGAAAAGTGGAGGGTTGTGTTAGGTAGTCGACAGCCAGCGTAAAACTTGTCGAATAATAATGACATGAATCCTTTAAGAAATTGTGTTAATGCTAGGGCGTCCCCTGCGCGATTGCCTGAATACAGTGACAAGTGTGCAAGGGCCGCTGCAGCGGCGCCCGGGTGCAGTGTTAAATAGGCAAGGGTTCCCACATCAAGGATGGATGTGGGCAAAGAAGCTAGTCCATGAAACTAAAATTAGGGTAAGAACTTGGAATATAGGTTCCCTTACAGGAAAATTAATGGAATTAATAGATATTATGATTCATAGGAAGTTAAATATTTTGTGCATTCAGGAAACTAAGTGGGTTGGAGGGAAGGCTAAGGAAATTGATAGTTTAAGATCTAAACTTTGGTATTTGGGTAGGAGTCGTACTAGAAATGGTGTAGGTGTTATTATAGATAAGAGTTTAAAGGATAATTTTATAAAAATTAATAGGATTGGAGATACAATTATAGCTTTAAAGATTGTTGTTGAGGATAAGATTGTTAATATTATAAGTGCTTATGCTCCTCAGGTAGGTTTGGATATGAGTTTTAAATTAAATTTTTGGAATGACTTAGAAGAATTAATATAAAAGATATCACTTGAATAAAGAGTTTTTATTGGAGGAGATTTAAATGGACATGTTGGTAGAGAGGTAGATGATTTTAAAAACATTCATGGTGGCCATGGATTTGGAACGACGAATGAAGGTGGCAAGATCATATTAGATTTTTGTTTAGTTTATGATTTTTCAATTGCTAATGCCTTATTTAAGAAAATGAATGAGCATCTCATCACTTATCATCTAGCAACAGTCAGCAACTATAACCATTCCATCCCTCAAAACCACCCTAAAACAGCTTGTTTAGCCCTTGAATTAATCTAAATGAACAATTACCTTGTCTTGTTCTCCACACCATGATGACGTCTTAAACCTCACAAAATTCAAATCATAAGTTTGCACCTCAAACTAACCCCTCCACTATTATTTCCCTTCCATTTAAACAACTCCAAACTCATTTCTTAAAAAGATATTATAAATCAACTCAAACTTGCCCAATATGAACTAGTCTTGGTATTCCATCTACCATACCCCTAAGGACCTCAGTTTCCTACCAAAGGCTTAAAATCACATCCTCACATATTAAAATAAATATCCATAAAAATTTCTAGCAACCAATCTCACTAAGAGGTCTCCCACCACCATTACTTAGCCTTTGACATCCTTGGTCACGATCATTCTTCTAAGTTTCACATTCCTGATCACCATGCTACCATTGACGACTGCATGCATCGGTGACTTCAATTCCTTGTCATCGTCAACTAATTCATCCTTGCCTAATTGAGATTATCATCATCAACTCCATCTCTCTGTCAAGCAAAAGAACATCGTTAAATAAAAAAAAATGTTGTGAACCACATTGTTTCGAGCTCCATGCACTACTTGT